CCATGAGAACCATCACATGTTCTTTCCTGTAGTTCTATTAACAGAGAATGACAGTTTTGATGGAGGTCCATCGCCTCAAGTCATGACGGCTAACATCAACAACAAGTACTCCACAGTTCCAGTATGTCTAACTACCCACTAGCACTAACTACCCTTGAGCTGCATGCAACAAACAGTCCTGAGCACATTGCAATTCAGAGATGACAACTGTCAGCTGTCAACTGATAACCGAGTCACTTCGTTGTAGGTGTAGGCACAACTTCAGTCATCTCTTCTATCACACCACCACCTACGCTGGTAGCCAGCCGCCTCCTAGCCATGTCGCCAACCCTCCACCTCATCCGAATCTCCTTCCTCTTGACACCTACGCCTTTTGATGGCAGTGGGAGCAGTGTGGGAGGTACCATCATCACTGCAATGAGACACTTCCCACCTCCTGTCACCACCCACAATAGCGAGGGACGACTGGACATGACAGGTAATGACACTGGTGTGGACACAGGTCTGGAGTCTTTCCACTGCAGAAGTGTATCCTCTTCTCACTCCTGATGGTGTAGTGTAACCAAGTGGCTGGTTGGCAGATTTTGGAACACTCTTCGATGACCTTTGGTGGCACTCCACACCTGTAAGCTGCTCACTCACACAATTTGGTGGTCAGGCGACCGAGGATGGGAACTGTGAATGGAAATGTGGCAGAGTTCATTTCGTGACAACACTGCTCCATCACTGGAGTCATTTACAAAGGTCTTGAAGGCTTGAAGTAGTTCTCTTTTCTGAATGACCTTTCAATTCGCAGTGGAGGCATAACTGTATGCCTGGTGGAGCCACGAGGGCGGAAGGAAGCAGTTGGAACAGCCGAAATGGATCACCTGGTGATTTCGATGTCAGTGTCATTGACCATCACGCACTGGAATCATGCATTGACCATCATGTCTGCCTCACCAACTTTTTCATTTGTAGACAGAAGAAATTCATCGAATTGCAACAGCATCGTTGTAGTGTTGGTGGTGGAAGTGAATGTCTGTGAAATTAGCAACCATGTACTAGTAATTCGCAAGTGTGTCACCCATCTATCTACTAAGGTGCTAAAGGCCAACACGACCGTCGGATAGATGGATGGATGGATGGCTGGATGGGTGGATGGATGGATAAATGAATGAATGACTTTCTTCACTCCATTCGTCATTGCTAGCGTGATTGTTGTTGTCGACTTTTCCCACTTTCTTGTACTTTTGTTATCTACGAAGCCCCTCGAGAGTCCATCTCAAGGCCGTTTGTACTGTACCTGCTATGAGTTTTACAGTCCACGGTCCAAATTGCACGGTCTTCTGACACACCCACGTACATGGGCTTGCCTCTGTCTTTCTGTCTGTCCGTCTGTTTGTGTCTATATGCCTGGCTGTCCACATCTGTGTCTGCGTGCGTCAGCACATGCCTGCGTCCCTGTCTGCGTCTGTCTCTGTCTCTACTTCCCCTTTTGTGATTAAATCGGAGCCAGGTCTCCTGCCTCGCAGCCCTTGGCCTGTGGCTAGTGGCAACGCCAGTCTGCACTGCATGCATGATGGAAACGTGTGCCTCACCAGATAGGTGTGCATGCTGATGCGGTGAGCAGCGACGAACAGCGGTGCATGAGACACCACAATCCCAACCGCGTTACAACCACAACCACCACATCTACTGTCCTACCGACTTTCGTTTGCTTCAGTAACCCCATTCTGTGGGTGCAGATGGATGCAGTTCATGTGGACGGCGAAATGAATGCATGAATGCGGGCAGCTGGTGTGTTCTCGTGGGATACTTTTGCAGGCGCCTCTCAGCCTCGATGCACATGTGCTCGACGCATCACATGGCCGTAGGTCGTGATGCCTACAGCAAGAAGTGAGGAGGGGGAGGAGGATGACAACGACGACGACGACGACAAAAGAGGCGCCTCTTTCAAATGCTCGCATTATTTGCTCTCGCAAGACCATATGTGGCAAGAAGTGTCCAAGGAGGTGGAAAGCACAACCGATGCAGCGAATTCGGCTGCCAGATGGTGAAGTGAGTGGAGTTGGGTTGCATGTAGTTGAATGAACTGGGCAAAGGGACAGTGGGAAGAAGAAGTGGTCATGAGGCACAGACAACGGAATGGGTGAATGCCTTGCAGTGACGTGGACTGGATATCTGTCGCAGTGGTAGTGGCATAAATTAGTGAAGGGGTAATGTCTCCTCACCCAATGGTATGGCAGGTGATGGGGTGGGCAAATGACAAGGCGAGAGTGAATAAATTTTAAGCCGGGTGCTCCGTATCCTCTGATTTCCTGGTCTTTGAAACGCCATCGACTAATTGTACTTAGCGGATATGCAAACCCTTGGCATCTGGTCCACGTGTAAATAAAATCAACAGTGAAACTCAAGTAGTGCACATGATCCTTCATTTCTGCCAACAATGCTGCACTATTGCCATGTGTCAGTATTGCACTACTGTTGCTTGTGTCCTTTACCAAGGTCATCCCTCCCCCACTCTCTCTCTCTCGTGCTCCCCTACTTACTTTGCCTGGCTTGATTCACGAGATCCTAAAAGTGCATCTACATGAAGGAGAATTGGAGAACTATAAAAGTGGGTTACTCTGTCCCCATCTTGGTTACCGTTGCCTTTCAGGGTGCTGCACAGGTACATGCTTCTCTGGATGGTGCATTTCATTGGTCAGTGGGAAAATTGCCTCCTGTGTTAAATTTAGTAGTCGACTCCTTCGCTAAGGAAGTGTCACTTCTGTGTCTTTAAATGGAGGAACTTGAAAGTACAAAGCTTGGTTTACTGTGTGCATGTCTGACTGTGAAAAGGTTATTGGGGAGGCAACGATGATGAAGATACTAACGCCTCGGGTGTTGTACAACCCTTTCAGACACTGTCATAAAGGAGGGAATTTGACGGTATTTTATGGAGGAATGAATAAAAACTTAGTTAACAGAATAAAGGGCTTTTCAAAACCGTGAGTTGGTATTTATCATCAATTTATCAGAATATGCTTCTTTAGCATCCCTTACATCAAATCTCATTCACTTCCCTTACTGATCCGCAAAACATGCCTTATTTCTACTATTTCAATTAATCACTAGTTCTGCAAATTACTAACAGCAATAAACCTTCTTTACGTGTGCTTTCTGTCCCTTTTCCCACTTCTTTTCGCACTGCTGTTGTCTAAATCACCGTCACCACTTCATTTTGAATTATGGCCTCGCAGTTACTCCATCTCTACCTTTGCATAATTTCCTACCAATACAATAAACGCGGCTTCCTAATGGACTTTTTTCCTGTCTGATGCCCTGAGTTCTGTACTCTTCGAGTTGTTAAGCTGGCGAAACCAAGCTACCGACTTGTATTATATCCTCTTAACAGTTACAGAACAAGTTTAAATGTCATATGACGGTATAAGCATGAGAACATGAAACTTGAGAGATAATATTTACTCCACAACATTCTCACAGAATTTATTCTTGTGCCACATTTAGGAAAAATAGCTCGGAACGAGTCTTTGTAGCGCGGCGCGCGCGTGCGAAGGACAAGGCAGTTATCGATTTTTTTCGGATAACATGGCGGCGGTTGTTTACACCCCATCTTGACGCTAGACGGACGAACGTCGGGGGAGAGGATTAAAAAGGGTGCTATGGGAAAATAACACTGTTGACTGTCCATAAATTGGGTCCTTTGGCCACGTGACTAATGGCCAAAAAGGTGGTCTCAGCGCGGAACGGAAAAAAGGGCGTTGCGACGACCCTCCCAACCCCTGACTCAGCACAAGATTTGCCCTTTATACGACAACTGGTGGGAGGGAGGAAATGGCTTACCATGTTTCCTAAAATCAACGAAACATAATTCCCGAACCAGATTTTCGTCTTTCTTACCAACACATACAGTA